CCAGCAGCAGGAGATGGGCGCCCCTCTCCACTCCTGTCCCGCTCACTGCTAACATGTCAGCTAGAAAAATGGCAGAGTTCCAGGCTTCCTCCCTTCGTGGTGCAGCTGGAAGGCCACCTCTGGGATGGACGGGGATGGAGAGCGCGTGTTCACGGCACCCTCACCTGCCAGGGCCCCGCTCCCCACCGCCAGGAGGAGTCCAGGAGCCTTTCTGTGGGAGGTGAGGAGGGCACCTTCACCTGGGGGCTGGGCTGGGAGTCACTGCCCCCCCCCCCCCCCCCCCCAGCCAGGACCCTGGATCCACTGGCGCTCTCTTCCTCATTCATGTCAAGGTCCCCAGGAGCTGGGAGCTCTGTCTGCACTTTCCCAGGAGAGGGCAGCCTCTGGACGGAACGGAGCTCAGGGGGGCAGCGCTGTCCTTGGAGATGCCAGCCCCGTGCTGGTGCACCTGCCAGGTGTGGGAGGTCAGCGGGGTTCAGCAGGCACCAAGCACCCACTGTGCAAGGCACTGGCTGTTGCGTGCCCCACGTGATCTCATTTTGCTCTCGAGCCACCGGGTGAGGTGAGGATGATTTGCCTCTTTTTAAAGTGAAGGGGACTGAGTTCTGGCACGTGGGTTTATCGGAGTCAAATCTCTTGCCATGCTTACCTCCCAGGGGATGACCCAGCCGACTGCGTGGGGCAGGGGCTGGCCTCTCCCACCACTCCTGTCCCCCATGGGTCACCAGCCATGACAGCACCATGCACGCAGGGCCCGTCTCCCCAGCGCTGCGTGGGACCTGGCAGTGGCGGGCACGCCAATGTCTTTTGGATGAATGACTCCCAGGGACCAGGAGTTGTGGGTCCTGGACCCAGCCCTTGCCCAGTGCTCTGGCCCCACATCCTCAGTGGCACCCGCTGAGGGCCTGGCATCTGGTGTTGGCTTCCAACTGGGCCACTTCCAGCTCGTTACCATTAACGTTTGGGGACACCCAGCATACGGCAGATGCCATTAGAAAAGCAAATTCCGTTCTGTCAGGAAGCAAAGCTAACAGCACAAAGCAGGTTAGGAGGGGAAGATTGATGAGCCAAAGCCCCTGGAAAACAAATGAGGGAAGTTTTCTTTACCAGATAACTTTTATTTATTACACTTGCTTTTTGTTAAAGACACAGACACCCTGCCGGTCTCTGGACCCAGGCCTGGAGAGATGCGCTGCTGGGACTGGGCAGGTCAGCGGGTGCTGGGACGGGTGGGCTTACAAGCCTCTGGGGAAAGGATCACCCCTGGGACTCAGCTCTGGGCTTCCATGGAGCTGCCCAGAGGCCGAGAGCCGCTGTTAGACCTGAGCAGGCCTCTCTGGGCCTCGGTTCCTCCTCTGTGAATCTTTGCCTGCAGGATTTGTCAAGACTCCAGACTCCATGAAGAGGAAATATGAATTGGACCTCAACCTTCCCCCAGAGCAGAGACACCTCTCGGCCAGATCCCTGGGCATGCTCTCAGCATCCTCCTTCAACCCTCCACCCCGATCTGAGCACCCCCCAAGGCCAGGCCGGCCCCTGGAAGCCCTGGGATAGTCAACAAATCTTCCTCCCAATTTCATAGATTCAGGGCCAACAACAAGATGCTTGCACAATGCGAAAGGCATAAAATGTTCAGATTTATTGCTTTGAGAGTTTGGTTTGTCTCCTGGGCCTGGTTGACGCAGCTTCCTTCAGGTTTCAGAGCATTTTGTTTAAAAAAAAAAAAAAAAGAATTTTGACAGCAATGTTTTGCCTCATATTTTCACAAGGCTTTATAGTTTACAAAGGACATTCACATAGAGGAATCATCACTATATGTATTGAATTTCTACACTGGGGAGCTCAACCCTGGAAATCACCCTCCTTTTCCACAGATGGGGAAGCAGAGGCTCAGAGAGGTTAAGGGCCTTGCCTAAGGTCACACAGCCCAGGGAAAGGTTTCACCCTGCTCTTGGTCTCTTCCGTCCTGCCACTCTGCTTTTCTCATCTTCAGCCTGCCCTAATGCACAGTGGTCTGCAGACAGACAGTGAGTGAGAACAAAACAAAATAAAAGCCAGAGGCAAATTGCAGAAAACAATCAGAGGCTGGGATGAGTAGACCAAATAAGCAGGTATGTTCAAGGGAAGATTATTTTTGTAATGA